CTTGTTGCTTTCTCTAAGCATAGATTAGATCTGCTTCATAAGTCTGATGAGACTTTCTGATGTGCAAGTGTGTTGCAACAAATGAAACAGCTCCTTAGTGATAATGGTGGTAGTCCAAATATAAAGAAATCAGAACCAACCCTTGTGCCACTCTTCAGTTAAAAAAACCAACCAAACAAACAAAAAAACCCCACAAAACAACAAACCCTCCCCCATCTAGCTTATTTTATGGAGCTTTGTATAATTTTGGCTTTTTTTTCTTTTTTAAATTGTGCATTTTATCCTATATTTTCCTTTACGTGTTCCCCCCTACCCCCCCCCGATTTTAATGACATAATTTTATATCAAGGGTTTTAAAGTTATTAGAACTCATTTGTAATTTCTTTCTTACATAACAAGAATTAAAACTATTTTTTTCAGCAGTATATAATTTCTGTAGAAACTGGTGAGTTTCTTGCCAAAGATTTTGGTTGTAGTATTGATTTTTAATGCAGCTGCAACAGCAGTATTTTTACCAGGATGAGAGATTTGTGCTGGTGTCCTGGAATTCTTGTTTTCAGTGCCAGATGTGTTGCTCTTGTTTTTGTATGAGTAGTCCAGAGACCAGAGTATTACTTATCTGTTTGCTTCTCTGAATTTCTGTCTACCAGGCAAGGATCCCTATAACGTTAGAGAGATTGATGATATCATCTTTGTTCCCTAGTGTAGGCTTGCAGGTGCAAAGTATCAACACAGTTAGCTTTCTACATTTTTCAGACCTTTTTCAGATAAGAAGGTACAAATATGCAACAGTGAGGTAGGTGTAGTTGTCAACTTGAAAAATTCTTTCGAAAGTGAACCCAAGCATGCTGATTTTGATTAAAAGAACAAAATTGAATATTTGTTCTTGTGCCTAACTCTCTTCTCTTCCCCCTGGTACTAACAAGCTTTTCTGCTATTGTTAGCAGAAATCCAGTATGTCCATTAGAAATGTTTTTCAGGTAAAGTAGTAATACGCTTTCACCCAAAGTTCCCCCAAGTTACCGCAGTGCATTTGTTTTATGTATACATAAACACACATGTACTGTTTTTTATCTGTATTCCATAGTTACGGAACAAAACTTCAGATTTCCCCTTCCCTCCCCAGTCTGAAAAAAGTCATGATTTAGGATAATTCTTCTTGGATGCTTTCTGACATGCTTAGCAATGTGAATGTTTACAGGTTTTCCTTCACTCTCTTCAACCCTCCTTGAACACGTCCTCTGTTATTCTGTATAAGCCATGAAATGTATTTAACCAGTCCATCTGAGTAATTATAAAAAAAGTGTGCTCTTAGCTTTGATTCAGGCTGAAGACCCTACACAGGCAAATGAAACATTGGCTCACAAAGCCAAAAAAACTTAAAAGTTACTTCTTTTTAAGTACTATAATAAGCAGTCATCAAGTAGAATGAAAGGTACCTCTTGCTAGGCATTAATGATAATTGTAATGGTTAGAAAATTATAGATGTGTTTCATCCAGCTCAGGAGTTGTCTTCTGGAGCTGACAGGCCAAGGACACAAAAAATATCAAGATGTTACGGCACTGGAATAAATTCTTCCTTTTTTCCCTCATTTCAGGGCCTTCCCTATTTCTCTTGAATCAGTACAAGTGCCCTTCTGTAAGAGCAGAGTCAGTGCTTCTGTTGAGTTGTGCTGACTGTTCTGCAGCACCCCATCACATAGAAACTGCAGGAGATTTGTGGGCCAGATCGCTTTGTTTTCGTGTTCTGCTTTTTGAGGAAGACATCATTTCCTAATGATGCTTTCATGAGAGCATTGTGCAGTGCCTTTGACAGCTTATAGGACTTTCATGGTCATGTAGAAATGGAGATGTTATAAAACTGCTGTCTTTTATAGGACTTACTAAAAAGATGGAGCTTTCTGAAGAACCATCCAGGTGTGTGCCAAAGTTGGTTGGTTTTCAAAACCATTGCCTTTGGGGCCAGAATTTTTCATGCTTGACTTCTCTATGAGAGTGTCATTTTATGTGTTTGTTTTTTCCCTGCACCTCCCTCTCTTAAGTTTGACATGAAGCCCTGAGGATGCACTGTGAAGCACCTACACAGAGGCTGAGATTCTAAGTTTAGGGTTATAAATTCTGCCTTAATTCTGCTCCATTTTATATTTGAAGCCTGGTTGTATGGGTTCATAAGTTTTTCCTAGATATAAAATCATACTGTGTTTACACCCATAGATACATTTCTAAAATGACAGAATTTTATGCTACATACAATTCACAAACATTACATATGTGAAAGGTTTGACATATCTTGTGATTATGTATTATACCGTAATTTGAGCATAATGTGTTTCATTAACGCTGCAAATGGACGGGTACAGATAGATCTTTGAGTCTGAAACTGCTTCAGTGCTGGAGTTGATCCTAAGAAAACTTGTGCTGCTGTTTGTAAGACAAATGGGGAATTCCCAGGATTTTGACCAAAACATTGAAAAGTATGCCTTAAAGTATGGGATGAAATGTTTGTTTATATTAGTGAACCTGACTGTTTTAATACAATTTTTTTTTTTCTAGCATACAACAATGAAAAAGATGTCAGAGAATGCACACATGTTCATTTTAGATGCTAGGAAATGTTATGACAATAATTTGATGGTTTTGAGCAATAGCATATTCCTATAACAATAGATGTTGTCATAACATATATTCAGAGCTTCCTAAGATAGGTTTATATTTGCAGTCTCAGTGTTGACATCATGTGATCTTATTCTTTTTTTCCCAACGTGCTTATATTTATTGTGTGGGATCTTTGTAATCAGAAATATCGGTGGCACCTTTTTCTTGTACTTACCTTTCAACATGAATTATACCTTCCTTAGCCTAACTTCTCATGCAGCCTGATCTTTGAGTGTATTCTTAAGACTCAATTTGAGTTATCAGTTACCAAGGTAACATGCTATGGTTTCATCAGTTGCAGGATTATGATTTCTCTGCAGGATAAATCAGGAAGAGTAGATGGATTTTAAGAGGGGGTTTTTTTTATACTTTTAACTCTAGGCTGGTTTGCCTTGGAGAACTAATTGACAACATTAAATTCTTTTTATTTTTTCCTTTTCATTTTCCATGGGAGTCAGAATGTGAAAGCTGTCCTGCAGCATCAGAGGTGCCAGTGAAACACAGTAGTTTGCTCTTATGCTTACACAGTCCCTGACAGATTGCCATGTTTAGCCGTGCTGCTAAAAGAGGCTGTTGTTTCCATCAGCTCCTTGTACCAGAACGATCCGCCAGCCATTCCTCCGCTGGCTCTGTGTGAGTACTCCCTAATTTGCTACATACAAAATCCACCACATTATCTCAAACAATTTAAGTTGGCAGTGTGATTGCATCTGGATTTTGCCTGAAGTGAATTACGGAATCATGAACTATGTTGCTGGGCGGATGAATTGGCCAATGCTAACCTTCAGCATAGGTAGCACCTGGGGAATGGTGCCATATTTCCTAGCTGGAATGAAGGAAAACATCTGTTCATAGCCACATTGCTACAGGCATACGTAGGTTAATTTTTCTTGAATAATCTGGTATGCGATGGGGACTCTGTAAGTCTGGATTAAAACTTTCCATCTTTCAGTGCCCTAGGGATGGGCACTGCATCCTTTCAGTGCATCTCTCCCAATACAGTGCTGGTAGAAATGTGAAATAAAACTGTGTTCTCGTTTTGTTTGCATCTTCAGAAGAAGAGCTTTTACTGTAAGTTATCATTTAGTCAGGAAGATGAAAAATTCTCCCTTGGTCTGTGTTCGCTTGAGTAGCAGACGTTATTTATTTTGAGGAAACAAAAACACTTCTGAAAAACTTTTTCTTCCCTTCCTTTTCCCCACATTTTTCTTTCCTGTTCTCTTAAGCTTGTCTTTGCATCAACTCTATTTGTGCAGTTTTTTTCTTTTCCCTCTCACTTTTATAGCATCCTTCTCTTTTTGATAGGGTCCTTAACTGGGCTATATGTTGCCCAGCATATAAGACAACCCCTTCAGCAGTACTTTCTCTAAGTAATTTGGCTATTGATGGAAGCTTAAAAATGTGTAAGGGAAAGGAAGACTATTTAACGGAATTAACAAACTAGTTTTTAAACAAGACATCAGAATATTTGGTTGCACAACACTTCTAGAGCAAGGTTTATCCATTACTCCTATGTTTCGAGTATATTAGATTTCCTTAGCTGTATGTCTGTTGCCATCGCCTTCTTTCTCTGTTTCCACTGTGAGTAAAGCTGCTGAGACACTTGTATATGTATGATTAGATGGTTTCCATTTGCACTATTAATCCATGTGACAGCGTAGAAAATCTCAGATGATTACAATGGAATAATAAATCCCCAAGAATTCAAAATTATACTTCTGGACACCAAAACTGTGCAAAGTAGACTGCTATTATA